AACTTTATTGGGGTAAAACTAGGACTATTTATAGTGTAGAGACAGCAGAAGAAGTCTTAGCTGATAGGTACTTTTAGGATGCCTCATTTACATAGGGCGGTGGGCTTCTATCAGGCTATCAGACAACGCCTGATTAAAACCTGGTAGCTCCTGTGCTGGAGGGCATGTATTTGTGGCGAGCACTGTAAAAGAAGAGTCAGGGAGGATGCCAGGAAGGCACTCTGCTATGAAGGAATCTGCAGCACATGGTTTCCGAGCTCATGAGCTATCCGGACATGAAGAGACTTCTACTTGCATAACAGAGAACCCCAACATCTTTGGGTATAACAATGAGTCATTAGGAATCAGTTTAATAACTATTTAGTAGAAAACTAGTATTAGGTTCTCCCTGATGTCCTGACCTGTCTAGCCTCAGGTTCCTGTGGCTAGATGACTACAGGAAACAGAGTTTTCCAGACAACTGGTCAGTTATTCATATGAACTCACAGCAATGTAACAACATGCACAAGTCCTATGCAAGCTCAAACCAGAAAACAAAACAAAACAAAAATCCCAGCATAGACATGAGGAATTAGATAAGAGGCTCCAACTCTACCTAAGGAAATTCTGGCAACAGATGGCTGCTGGGAGGGGCAGAGACAGTCTCCGTCAAGCATGGGACTCTTGGTAGGTTAACCAGGCTCCAGTGGATGGACCCACACTGAAAGACATTTGGGACACTAATTAGACTTTATAAGCCTTATTATATATGTACTATATATAATAGAGTACATTAAATTGGGTGGGGAGTTGTAAGCAATGGATGGGGAAGGAATCTAAATACCATCAAAATACATTGTATGAAAATCATAAAAGTTCAATAAAAAAGAAATAAATAAAAAGGGGAAAAAGCTAAAAAATTTGAAAAACTTGCCTTGGTGGCACATGTATTTAATCCCAGCAACTGGGAGGCTGAGGCAGGTGGATCTCTATGAGATCAAGGGGAGATGGCAATCAGGGAAAGGATCTAAATACTGCCAAATTATATTGTATGAAAATTGCAAAAATACAATTTAAAAATGTAAAAAAAAAAGGCCAGGTGTAGATATTAACACTTCAATGGTTGTTGTTAACAACACAGATACCACCACAGATTTTCTGATGTCTGAGGCATGTCTCAGGGAACCACCATTGCAGATGTTCATCCCAGAAACTCCATATCCCACAACTCAAGCAGAGTGGGGGAGGTTATATCCTAAGCTATCCATCTATTTATCCCATCACACTGGTAGCAGATTTCAGAGAAGATATGTGGAAGAATCTGGGCAAAGAGGCATTTTCCTTCTCCTCTAGAGCTTCTTGTTTACCTCCTGACTATTGAAGAAGTCTGATTACTCCAATAGGTCCTAAAACCCACTCTTATTCCAAACCCAACTAAGGTCAATGAGCTTCTGAAATGGTGGCTCCTACAGCATCGCTCCCTCCCTCCACCAGTCTCAACAGGTTTCTAAGAAGCTATTTCAAACCTGTGCCTCCCAAGGCTCAGGGATCATTGTGAAAAAGAAGGCAGAAAGATTGTAAGAGCCAAAATAGGTGGATGGCCACAAGGAAACAGTTTTCCAGACAGCTGGTCATTTACTCATATGAACTCACAGTGATGGTGACAGCATGCACAAGTCCTATGCAAGCTCAAACCAGACAATATCCCAGGATAAGCATGGGGAAGTGGATAAGAAATCCCAACCTTATCGGAGGAACTTTTGTCAATTGATGGCTGCTGGGAAGGGGAAGACAGTGTCTTACAGGGTTGGGCCTCTTGGTGGGTGCAGTGAATGGATCCACACTGAAGGATATTAGGGGACACAAATCACACTCTATAGACATATATATGTATATGAGAGTTCATTAGATTAGGTGGGGAACAGTGAGAGGAGGTAGGGAGAGGGGAGTAGATCTAAATGTCTTCAAACTATATTGTATGAAAAGCTCAAAAATTCAATAAAAATGCAGAACAAACAAAAAAGACTAATATATGAAATTCTTGAATCAATAATTTTTTAAAGAAAGCTATTGGGAAGGAGGAGTGTTTCTATTTGCATAGTAAATTATTATCTCATTGACTTCCATTATGGACTCCAAGGTGGATTCCCAGTCCCTGCTCTGTGATTCACATCTTCCCCTAAGAATCCTAATTACCATTTCAAGCACCATTCTGCCTGTGCCAGCATGCCATCTAACCACATTTAATTCTTCTGTAGAACACTTGCAAGAAATTAGTCAAGTGGGTGATTAATCCACAAAATCTTTATGTAGATACCTAAAGGCAAAAGGTGGGTTAAAATCCACAACGTAAGTGAATTTTCTTTTTACTAGTGTCAGGATCATAGAGCTGGTAAGTGGGTTGCACAGTTTCCACCGCCCATATTCTCAGGATGAGGACACCAGGGGAGGAAGGATGTTGAATCAGCAACACTTTTAATAAGTGGTTCCACTAGTTCATCAACACTCAGAAGCCAAAATATGGGAAATGAGTTGCATTTTTCAAAAGCTAAATAATACAGGGAAGAGTTGCTTACAGTCTCTTCATGACAGGTTTATTATCAATTTAAAATGCAAGCCATCTTGTCATTATTACACACGTTTGTTGACTTCTGCCTGGCTAATTGTCAGCAACGAGGTTCTAAGTACCACTTTCCTAAATAGGACAATGTTTTTTGAATTGATGGGCTCTGTGGGGGTCTTTGAGATGACTTCTGAGCTTGCAGGAAGTTTCTACTGACAGCCTGTACTGTATAAGACATCAGATGTTAAATAAGGACTCTTGTCCAAATGGGAGCAAAAGGAGGTGACAGGTACATATAGCTGCACATGTAGATACCAGAACCAAGTCCCTCACTACCTTGGAAGTCATAAGAGATTCTTAGTCCCTTAGTTAAACTCCCTGTTGTGATTATGGTTGAAAGGTGGAAACACCAGACATACTTTGAGCCATTGGAATATCTAAAGTCAAAGTTTGTCTCATTAATGAAGAGTAAAGAAGGACTTCCCGAGTTCCCAGTTATGGAGCAAACTTAATTTTTTGGTCGTAAGCAAAAATGTCATACATACTCAATCATGCCTTGATCTAAGTATCCTAAAACATTGAATTGACAAATTATAATTATATTTATGAAAGACATAAACTCCTATGATGGTGCATGCCTGTGGTTCCAGCTGCTTGGGAAATGCAATAGTAAGACCACAAGAGTCCAGGAATGTGAGTCTGGACAGTATGGAAAGATTCCATTTCAAAAAAAAAAAGGAAGAAGGGAGAAAAGGAAGGAGGGAAGATAGGGAAGGAGGGAGGGAGGGAGGAGGAAGATGTGTTACATGATGACGTATCGCAGGTAGCCTAGGTATACTCTGTGTAGTGATTACAGCAGTCAAGTTACTTAACCACACCCCATGATCACTGTTTGTATATATAAGTATGTAATGGGAAGATAAGCCTATGCAAACCTGATCTCATATCAAACTTCCAATAAATACAATATTAGTAGCAATATTCACTGTATATGTTACATCCCCAGAACTTACTCATCTTAAACCGAAAGTTTATAACCTTTGACCAACATCCCCCCACCCCAAACTCTAGGAAACCACCATTCTACTCTCTGTTTCTATGAGTTCAACTTTTTTTTAGATTCCTCAGCTAAGAGAAGTTGTGCAGTATCTCTGTATCTGCCTGATTTAACAGCATATTTTTTTCCAGGTTCATCTATGTTGTAGGAAATGACAGGATTTCCTTCTTTTAAAGGCTGGATAATATTCCATTTTATGAAAAAAAAACCTCATTTTCTTCATTTATTACTCTCAATGAATACCTAGGTTCTTCTTATATCTTGGTTACCATGAACATGGGACTTTAAATATCTCTTAGACACAGTGACTTCATTTCCTGTCAATCTTCCCTTTCAACAGGGATGATTACCATCCTACTTCAAAGATGTGTTATGGTTCAGATGTGACGGGTCCCCCTGTTGAAGGCTTCATCCCTACCTGATAGATTCAATCACTCAGCAGTGAATGGATCATGACCTAATCAATAGATTAATCCGTTGATGGAGCCATAACCTGAATGGGCAATTGGTAGAAACTTTCAGATGTGGGGCCTGGTTGAAGGTAGCAGGTCAAGGAGACATGTTCTCCTGGGCTAGATCTTGTTCGGGACCACTTCCTCTCTTTGCTTTCTGGTCACCGTGAAGTAAACAGGTCTGCCCTGCCAACCCCTTCTGCCTTCATGTTCTGCCTCACCATATCCCAGAAACCATGGACTGAATCCTTTAAAGCCATAAGCCAATATCAGTCTTCCTCTTTTGAAGTTGTTTATGTCAGATATTTTGTCATAGTGGCAAGAAACTAGCATAATTGGCATTTATTAAAAGGAGATAATAGAGCCTGGTGTGGTGGTGCACGCCTTTAATCCCAGCACTTGGGAGGCAGATGCAGGCAGATTTCCATGAGATCCAGACCAGCTCAGTCTACATGGTAAGTTCCAGGCCAACTGGGACTACAGGGAGACCTTGTTTAACACACACACACACACGCACACACACACCCCCCAAAAAATGAGATTATATAAAAACCCTTGAAATTTTTTTCCTTAAAGCCACAGTAAACTTTAATACAATATCAGAGTGACCTCATCCAGCAATTAATAAAAAAAGGAAAAGAAAAATTAAAATAATTTAACTAGGACCATAAAAAGTTAAACACAAGCCTTCTTCCTTCCATCCCTCCAACTGTAAGATTTTCTTCTATCATCTTTCTCCATCTTGTTCTCACTGCTTATTTAATTCATTGTTTCAACTCAGGAATTCTACAATACCTAAAAATTGCTTTTATTTCCTTTGATTGAGATAGTTTGTCCATTCTCAGACTCCTGATACTTGTACCTCCATGTCCTCCGTGCTATGAGCATCTTACTCAGGGACACAGACTTCTCCATTTTCTAGCAGCTGATATGAGGTTGCCTCTTACAGATCCCAACTGTTGTGGGAGAGAGTTGTACTCTGTGCCCTGTGGAAAGTGCTATCCGCAGCTGTTTCCAAGGGGTGAGTACCATGAAAATGTCCCTGGGAGCTGGGGCAGACATGCTTGAAGAGTTTGCTGACTGACTTCAATTAGATTCCATTCAGATCCCCAGACAACCTAAGTTCAGAGGTTGCCTTGCCTCCAACTTCTCATAAGATAAAACTTTAGCAGAACAACACAGAGCCAACAAAGAGTACAAGTCCCATCTAAAAGTGCATTTCAGCATGCTCTTGTTTTCCAGGTGCTGAGCTCTGGAATCAAGGAGGAGAAGTTCCTGTCTTGGGTACAGTCTGAGTCTCTCATCCTCCTGTGGCTCCCAACCTGCTACCGACTGTCAGCCGCAGAAATAGTCATTCATCCTGTGCGGTGCAGCGTCTGCAGGAGCTTCCCAATCACTGGACTGAGGTACAGTCAGCATTAGTATTTCAAATGGTCATTTCCCAAATGGGTCCAAAGGTGGGGCTACATCTCTCCAGAATCTTTCTGAGATCCTTCTCATGCATTTGGAGGTCAGTTGAATTTTGCAGCTCAGTAATTCCCTGACTGAGGCATCCTGGCTGAAAATAAACTTACCCTTTATAATGGATGTAATATTAAATTCTTCCACTGACACATACTCTGAATAGCCACCATTTCTATTCCTCTAAGGTGGAACACAATTGTCTTTTGTTCAAAATAAACCTTTTAAGTGCTCTGGAGCTACCCATAACAAGAATAGCATATATTTGTTAAGTGTTAAGGAAATGCTAGGCTGAGCAGTTTACATGGATCATTTCACTTATAATGTGTTAAAAGTTTTATAAAAGGTGGTGTTATTATCCCCAACTCACAGAATCATTAAATAACACGGTTAGCAAGTGGCAGAGGCTGTGAGCTGAATTCAGAGTCCCTGTTGTGCAACGATGATGCTCTACTGTGTCCTTGTAGTGACCACTGAGAGCAAGGGAAGGGAGCCGAAGGAATCATCAGCTTAGGCCAGACCTTCTGTCTACCTAGAGGCAGGGGCAGATTTGACAGCTCTTTGGGGGAATGAGAGCATCTGACCCCTCCATGGCTTTGAGGATGACAGTTAAAACCATATCATAGGGGCTGGAGAGTTGGCTCAGCAGTTAAGAACACTGGCTGTTCTTGCAGAGGACCCGGGTTCAAATCCCAGAACCCACATGGAAGTTAACAACTGTCTGTAACTCCAGTTCCAGAGGATCTGACAGCCTCTTCTGTCCTCCACAGGCATTGCACGACATGAGTGCACTTACATACATGCAGGCAATACACACATACACATAAGATAATAATAATAATAGAAAAAAACCCTATCTTAAAGAAAGGTTGGGATGTAGTTTTCCATAAATTAAATAATAAAGAAGTAAATTAGAGGTACCATTAGAGGCTGAGTTTTTGTTTTTATTTTTATTTGTTTTGGTTTGTTTTTTATTTTTATTTTTTTTAGACAGAATCCCACTATGTAACCTTGTCTTGCCTGGAATGTGCTATATAGATCAGGAACTCACAGAAATTCTCTTCCCTCTGCCTCCCAAGTGTTGGAATTAAAGGTACATGTCACCATCCTAGCTCACTAGGGAAAAGAAGGAAGTGGGAAGGTCTAGCCTACACATGGGTAACCCATGATTCATAATGTGTGAGCAGAGGGGTGGAGATGTGGTTGGGCTGAAACTCTGGGGTTTTCTGTAGTTAAAGACAAGCCATGGGGTACCTAGAAAGGAAGGGGTTCAGAGATGTCAGAGCTTGGCTCTTGCCACTCTGTCTCACTTTTCTTCCCTTATTTCCTGACCTTAACCAGTTTAAATCTTTTTTAAAAATTTTATTTATTATTTTTATTTTATATGTATGCGTGCATTGCCTGCATGTAGATAAGTGCACCTGTGTTGTGCAGTGCCTGTGGAGGTCAGAAGAGGCCGTCGGATCCCCTGGGACTGGAATTACCAACAGTTGTTAGCTTCCATGTGGGTGCTGGGATTTGAACCTGGGCCTTCTGCAAGAACAACCAGTGTTCTTAACTGCTGAGCCATCTCTCCAGCCCCTGCATAGATCTTATTTTAGTAAAAATATAGTTCAGATTTCTGTTTTTTTTTTAAGTCTCCTTGCTGTTTTAGGGTAAATTTCAAGAAGAGAATATCATTTAAAATGAGATATTTCTTATATTTTATATTTGTGTTTGTGGCATATGTATTTGTATGTGTGCACATATGTACACATATATGTAAACAGTGCACATGCATACATGTGAACATGACTGGAGACCAGAGGTTAACACTGAATGCCTTCCTCAATTGCTAAGTGCCTTATTTGATGAGACAAGGTATCTTATTGAATCTGGAGCTCAGTGATTCAGTTGGACTGACTGGCCAGCAAGCCCCAGGGATCCTCCTGTCTCTGCCTCCCTAGCCCTGGGATTCAAGCATGCGCCATAACTCCTGGCTTTTTATGTGGGTGCTGGGGATCCAGACTCAGGTCTTCATGGATGTGCAGCAAGCACTTTGCTGACTAAGCCATCTCCCCAGTCCTGATACTTTTTATATTTTAAATTATAATTTTATAAACATTAGTTTATAGCATATATTTCTCTTATCAGTATAATATAACATCTCTTTTGGAAGTATTAATACAACACTAGTTACTAATACTTTTATTAGTGTTTTTGAGAATTTCATGCTCTTCTGCAAGAACAGTCAGTGTTCTTAACCACTGAGCCATCTCTACAGCCCAACCAGTTTAAGTCTTAAACACATTCCCTCACAGAATGGGCCCACTAAAAATCTAGAAATCAAGTTTTAATTTCCTGAAAAGGTGGACTGAGTTTATGGGGAATTTGGAAGATGCGGCAAAACTTAACTCATAAAAAAAAAAACTCTTTGAAAATAACTCATAAAAAACCTCTTTGAAAATAACTTGAAGCAGTAAGCCACATCAATGAACAGGCCCACTGGAAAACAAGCAAGCAAAACAAAAACATTTTCATATTACAGTGAAAAGAATTTCTTCTCATGATAAACCGTGAAGGAACATGAGTATAATTTATCACACTGTATGCATATTATAACAATTTAACCAGAAATGGAAAGTTGTTCTTTATATAATTCCTGTATGTCCTCTTCTAGGCCAGGTACAGAATTAACTTTGAAACTGAATAACTCGCAACTTTTACGTCGAAATCAATGTTGAGTATTGAGTATCAAAGGTTTTAAGTGACTTGCCCAGGTAACTCAAGAAAATAACAAAGCACAGGATAAGACATACCATACTGTGAGTTTGAGAATGTGCCCTGTCTGTTGAGAATGAAACTAAGCTTCCTCTTGAAACACTGCCTTATGAACTATTTTTCTTCCTAGACATACAAGGCAAAGTAAAATAAAGAGAGATGGATCTGGGGGTACCTGTAAAGCATCTTTGGATACATTACAGTCTTAACCTTAAATGTATTGTTTTAGCTCTCAAAGCTCAAGCAATGGCTTTCATTTCAGGGAGATCGATAAAGCCACCAAAAACAAAGGCGTTTATAGCTTTGAAGGTAGCAGGAAGAGGGAAAGACTCGTCCTCCTACAGAAAGCAAAGGGGATTGGGAAGATGGCTCCATCAAAGCATCTACAGTGCAAGCATGAGCCTCTGAGTTAGTTAAGAGCATCTGCTGCTCTTGCAGAGGACATGAGTTTAGTTTCCAGCTCCCACATGGAAGCTCACAACCATCTATAACTCCAGTTCTAGGGAATCTGCCACCCTCTTCTGGCCTCATCGGTACTGCATGTAAATGGTACTTACATGCAAGTAAAACATTCATACATATAGTAGTAGTAACAACAACAACAACAATAACAATAAAGCCAGAGCCAGGAGAACCCCTGGGGCTTGCTAGATACTCCAGCTGAATTGATGAGCTCACAGATTCAGTGAGAGACCCTGTCTTTAAAAATGAGGAGGAGCTGGGTGTGGTGGTGCAAGTCTTTAATCTCAGCACTCAGGAGGCAGAGGCAGGCAAATCTCTGTGCAATTGAGGCTGGCCCAATCTATGTGGTGATTTCCAGGCCTGCTGGGGCTATAGGGAGACCCTATCTCAAAAAGACCAAATAAATAGATTAATTAATTAATTAAGTGGTAGATCAATTGAGAAAGACATTTAACATTAACCTCTGACCTCGGTACACACACATGTACACACACACACACACACACACACACACACACACATGCACACACACGCACAAGCATGTACAGAAAGACAGAGAGAAAGCATAAAGACGAAATTGTCCCTAATCCAAGAATTAAATTATAGATGAACAGGTTATCACTGATGTTCTATAAAAAGGCATGTAAGGTTGAGATGAGATTGGAGAAAAATCTTGGTTGTCTATGTGGTAAAACTATAAAAAACAAACCAGTCTTAGTCCCTACTCAGCAATGCCTCACACATCTACAGATACTTCAGAATACAGAGGAACACATTTGAGGAAAGTAAGGACATTGTCACAGCAAGCCAGTTGCAGCTGTCTAGAATGCTGGACAAAACAGTCAGCAGAGGTGATTCATCAAATAACTCATTAAAACAAGACATTTCTATGTTGTTCACTACCTTGACAAAGTGAGTGCCTTCCTGCTTAGGTATGTTCATTAATTTTCAAAGCTATGTAAAACTTTTGCAAGGCCAAAAAGGCAGTGTTTACTAACTCCAATGTCCTCCTGAAGAAGCCGGGTCATTCAACTTCACTCAGTATACACTAATGACCTACTATGTACCACACAGCCTTCCAAACAGTGACCTTAACTTTCCAGTGCAACTCCTGCAACTACCACAGCTAGGAATGGTGGTATGTGAACTCAAACTCTAGTCCCTTATCTTCCTCTACCATTCACTAAACAGTTGTGTGACTTTGTGCAAGTTCCTTGGGCTCTCTTTGGTTCCATTTCCTCATCTGTAAAATTAGGACAATATTATGACAATTTTAATATAAAGAATTTCATGGCGACCCAGTGCACATGGCACATAAAAAAGTGTTCAAAAGCATAATTGTTCTAGCTACCCAACATTATTTACTATCTCCTGCCATGAGACTCAAAGGTCAAAGGAACAGTAGTAAACAAGGCAGCTCTAAGTTGGCCCCACAGTTATTTATATCCTCCTGCCACACTTTCAAATGCTTAGTCATATTCTTAAGACTTTCTGTTATCTGACTTTGCTGGTACTCCAACTTTTCATGCCCCTATTCTTCAGGGGGATTAGCAAGTCTGGAAGATCTAGGAACCACTTGTTCATGACAGTCTCTATTACGTTTTCTTTCTCTTCTTTCTATCTGGGAGCTTCCCTACTTTAATCTTTAGACCACCTTCCATGAAATTATGGGTTCTCTTTGAAACTGGCAAGATATGCTAGTGAGTCTCAGTTCTTCCATGAAAACCCAGCCCACACTAGCACTCGTGTTTAAATCCTTTATCTATGGCTTGCTCTTCCCAGCACCAGGAATGCAGTTCAATATTATCATGTCTGCAGATTTCCAAGAGAAGCCACAATTTCATTGCATTGAAACTATCAAACCTCTATTTTTAATATTTGAGTGTATGCTGCAACTACACAAAATATGTCTACAGACTTGAGGGTTTCTCTTAGCAGTTGTGGTTCCCAGTACTCTGCTAAGTATGCAACATATCTGGTATTTGGGTGGTGTGAGGAAGGGATGTAAATCAGACCTCTATACCATAGTTTATTGAGTAAAGACACATTAATATAATCCTTATAAAAATATTATCAAAGGGCTAGCAAGATGGCTCAGCAGGTTAAGGTGCTTGCTGGCAAGCCTGACCAACTTGAATTCCATCTCTAGAACCTACATGGAGGGACTCCCAGAAGCTGTTCTCTGACCTCCACACATGCACCATGGCACACACCTGCCTACATACTTACATACACACACACATGTGCGCACACATAAATAAATAAATAAATATAAAAATACTTTCAAAAGAAAATTTCTCTGATTAAATTAACACACTTGAGTTATTTAATATCCCTATCAACTTTGAGAGACACTTGATAACCACTGGAAGTTCAGACAACCTCCTGTATGTTTGGGGAGGCTCACTCTCTGCCTGACTCATCTGCTCATCTACAGGTAATGATGTAAGCTGTACTTCCACTTTACTTGGCAGATACCACTGTCTGAAGTGCCTCAACTTTGACATCTGCCAGGTGTGTTTTTTATCCGGTCTTCACAGCAAGTCCCACCAGAAGTCACATACTGTAATTGAGCGCTGTGTTCAGGTAATATCCAATGCAATGTAGTAAGCTATTCGCTAACCAAGTCCTTAAAAGATATATCCATTTAAAAAGCCTTTTCTTCCACCAAAACCACAGATTCTGCCTCTGCTGTATATTACAATAGCTAAGACTATGGAAAAGACAAGCTCAACCTTAAATATTTCTCAATATAATGATGCTCTTTTATATTATCAGAGAATATTACAAATTGCATGAAAAAGTCATAATGAATTTTATTGACTTTTATACTTGATACATGCAGAAAGTTAAAAATAGAAATATGCTTTCTTGGGGCTGGAGAAATGGCTCAGCAGTTAAGAGCAGTGGCTGCTCTTGCAGAGGACCTGGGTTCAATTCCCAGCACCCACATGGTGGCTATGAACCGTCCTTAACTCCAGTTCCAGGGGAATCTGAAGCCCTCTTCTGACCATGGCATTGCATGACACAGGTGCACTCACATACATGTAGGCAATACACTCATACACATAATTAAAAGTAAAAATTTAAAATTAAAAAAAAATATGCTTTCTTTACCATTGCAGGTTTGCTTTTTAACTATTTTAATATTTTTATGTGCATAAGTGTTTTGTCTGCATGTATGTAAGTGCACCCATGTTGTTCAATGCCCATAGAGGTCAGAAAAGGGTATTGGATTCCCCTGGAACTGTAGTTATGGACAGTTGTTAACTACCATGTGCCATGTGGGTGCTGGGAATTGAACCCAGGTCTTCTGTGAGAGCAGTCAATGCTCTTAACCACTAAGCTATCTATCCAGCAACATTGCAAGCTTTTATAAAAATCTAGGGGAACAAGGAAAGACTAAATCAATTACAGTCTGACTATTGATCTCATACTATGTGCTAGAAAATATCTCTCCAAGTTTTTCTTCCTTGCCCTCCAAGGTTGACTAAGTTCCCAGGGACTATGGGAACATCTCTCAAAATGTCCTGTAACTGTGGGTGAGTCACCTGTCCTCTTGTTCAGGGAGGCCATGGAGACCCCACGGGATGGATTTGAACCAGTGTCTAGTCTAGTCTGACTATTGATCTCATACTATGTGCTAGAAAATATCTCTCCAAGTTTTTCTTCCTTGCCCTCCAAGGTTGACTAAGTTCCCAGGGACTATGGGAACATCTCTCAAAATGTCCTGTAACTGTGGGTGAGTCACCTGTCCTCTTGTTCAGGGAGGCCATGGAGACCCCACGGGATGGATTTGAACCAGTGTCTAGTCTAACAAAGAGGAGGGTCAACTCAGAGGAAACATTCCCTCCATGCTTCCAAGTGAAGCCAGCCATGGTCAAGTAGGACCTTTGACTTATCTTCACATAGATGAAACTGGTAAAAGAAAGGAGCCGGGCTCCTCCCAAGCCCATGCGACCCCTGAGGAACAGATCCTCAAATGACCTTAAGAGTGAAAATAAATTG